TTTTCCTTCTATGTTCATTAATAACCCCCTCCTTTTTCCACTATCGGTGGAAAAAGGTGGGGTGGTGTTTTTTTTTTTTGTTATGTTACAGTCGACCATCAAATGTAGACACTTCTCTGAGTGAGAATTCGAACATTGCTTTGTCATATTATCAACGATTAGTTCTTGTAGCTAGATCCAACTCTTGTTGCTAAACTTATTTATGATTATTATAATAAATTTAACATGATTAAATCAATAAAACAAATAAAAATAATGTTGATCTTGATACGCATTCGTTAGCCCCCATGTTCATTCGTTACACGGATTGGGCATCATCAGGAAAATCCCTATTTGATCTTGATTATGTGCCTACATCCCCTTTTGACAATAATAACAAATCTAATTGTTTCTTTTAAATATAAAATTTGAATAGTGTTTTTATGTATTTTGTTGGTATGAAACATGGTCAAAATGATTATAATTAAATTAATTCAGTTGTATGTAAACATTTTTCATAATTAAATGTATCAAAGAAGATGCTTGCATTTTAAATACTGTGAAGGTTAATATGGAATGCTTTACGTTTCAATTCCGGGGATAGCAAGATCTTTTTAAAATAATAATTATTCAGTATAAATTCTTCTTATCATTTTTTTGGCCACACAATGGCTAGCTAGACTTCAGCATAGAAATTTGGTGGCCTTGCTAGGATTTTGCATAGAGGAGTAGGAGAAAATTCTCATTTATGAACATGTTCCCAACAAAAGTCTTGACTACTTTCTATTTGGTTAGACTCTTCTAAACTCATTTTAACTCTTCGTCGAAATTTATATGCATGCCTGTTATTAATCATTTGACATTCGCCGCCTCATATATGCTGAAGTTAATTACTTGTTTTCAATTACCTTTATTTAATTTGTCAGTCTGGTCATTAACCATTGCTTTATATATGTACAGGTTCTCAGTGAAGCAAAGTGTTAAATTGGGAGGAACGTTACAAAATTATCGAAGGAGTTGCTAGAGGAATTCTTCACCCTCATGATTATTCTCGAGTTAAAATTTTACATGGTGATATGAAACCTAACAATATTTTATTAGATGATGAAATGAATTCAAAATTTTCAGATTTTGCCATGGCTAGGATGGTTGGAATCAACAAAATTGAAGGAAGTACAAATAAAACTGTTGGAACATAGTAATTTATAAGATTTTCCTTTCAAATTCTCTATATCTATCATGATATGGTTAAATAAGAAAAAGTTTTTGCCTCAGCTGACATATAAAACTTCGCCTTCCATTTTTTTTTCATTTGAAATGTCCAAGCGTGTCGCTTGTTATCTATTGGAAAGAAGATATAATTGATGTTTTTATTTTTTTTCAGTGGTTATATGTTTTTAGAGTATGCAATGTTTGGACAACACTCAGAAAAATTAGATGTTTTTAGTTTTGGAGTAATAGTATTAGAAATTTTTAGTGGAAAGAAGATCACAAGTTCTCCCAATCAATCTCATGACTCCTAAATAATGTAAGTTAATCTTATTACGCTGTAATAATATTACCTATGTAATTGTCTTAAATATGAGAGAGATTATCTGAGCAATATTGTGTGAAATAATAAAAGGGTGATGATTAAAATAGCTAAGTTTACTAAATTGTTGCAGGCTTGAAATCAACGGAAGGAAGAAAAGATATTAGAGATTTTGGATTCAAATCTAAATGAATGTGAATTGTCGAATGAAGTGACAAGTGCATCCAAATTGGGTTGTTATGCGTTCAAGAAAATCCAGAAGCAAGGCCTTCTATGGCTACAGTTGTTTCATGTCTTAGCAATGATTCAGGGGGTGTTTGGAAACACCCATATTTATTTCGTAGACTGTAAAATCACTTTTAAAACCATAGTTGGGTTATTAGCCAAACACCCCGTCAATTCAATTGCCATTTCCACAAGAACCTTCTTTCTCTCTAGAGGGCCACAAGGAGCATAGTACCAAAAGTCCGAGGATCTATAAATCAAATACTCCTTCGGTCCTTGATATAAGACCCATTTAACTAATTTGATTATATTAAAGAAGTTAGATAAGTTAGTTAATTATAAGAAAAATGACACATTTGTTTTAAAATACCATAATCATCTTTTTTTAATACCCCTCTCCCTCTTCTACTTAATTATGGTTGAGGGAGTATCCATAAGAGTCATTTAGAGAAAAATGACAAATATGAAAAATGGATCTTATATTTAGGACCAAGACCAACTCAAGAATTGGGTTTTATATTAAGAACCAGAGGAGTATCTATAGGTGAATTCTATTTGTAGTTGATAACTCATTGTTTTAAATATCTTAAACAAATATTTTGAGTGATTTTTGAAAAGTTATCAATAGGATTTTGGATGATTTTAGGGGTGTTCATGAAGCTCAGTTGCCCGCTATGCCTGTCCAAGCTCGCAAAAAAATGCCCAGCTCGTCTTAAAAAAAAATGACCCGAAAGAACTATTGGCCATGTTCGGGTTGGGCAAACTATTGGGCAGGGCTGGGCATTGGGCACAGTATGCTGCCCTATCCATTTGGCCCTACCCGCAAAAATATATATAATTTAATTTATATATATTTTATTTGCCTCATATTTATTTTCTAAATCAAACGTATTGTTGTATCAATATTCAATATTCATTATACTTATTTATTTTTGAATGATTTTGAGAGTTAGAAACTAGAAAAACAATTAAGTTTAATAAAATATACTAACAACATTTTTTTTCATAGTCCACTCCTCTTAGCTACTACAAAAAGTAGTTTCACAGTATATTAATTAGTAATAACAAAATTAAGGCCAAGTTTCCATTTTAATATAAAGTTACATTAGATTATTTAGAGGGATATAAATAGTTAATTAATATAGCATATTGATTTGTTGGGCCTAGAAGCCTGCCCTGCCCAACCCGCATTTGCCCAACCCAAACTTATTAGGGCTTTTCATGAGCAGGGCTGGGCAACGGGCTGCATTTTCCAGCCCATTCATTCTTCGGGCTGGGCATCGGGCAAGGGTCCTGCCCTACCTAGCCCTGTCCATATGCACCCCTAGATGATTTAAAAGAGATTTGAAAAGAAATTAATTGTGAGCATTATTTGAGGGATTTGATTATAAATATCTTAGTTTGAAAAAAATAAAAATTATTCAATTTTAGGTTTAAGATTTAGTTGATTTTATCTTATCTTATTTCAATTTCTTGTAAGTTATTCTCTTTTTTATTTTATTTTTCAGCTTTTTCTCTTTTATTTGTTTTATTTTATTTTCTCTCTTCCATCAGCTTTCACGTGCTGCACAAGAGGCTCATGAGGAAGAGATCAACGCACCGTTTGGAGAAATAAAGATTGGAATTTGACTTTGGTAATTGAAGGAGGGACGACAGCGTTTCTGAGAAAGGTCGGACGCAGCGTTTTGGGGCGACCATTTTTGGATACCTAAGGACACCGTTCATCATCGTCTGGGAGGCGGGTTGTGTGAAGACGGCGCCGAACTGGCTTGGAGAGAAAACTGGAAGTGAGAGGAGGCTGCGTTTCGGACTGTGGAATATCTCCTGGGATCTTCATCTTCTAATCTGCGTTTTGAGGAGGACGTTGACGCTCTGCTTCTCAAGTTTTGGGGCTCGGTAGACGGGTTCAGCAGAGGAGGTCAAAGACGAGAGGAGGTCGCCAATGCTGGTTCTGGACTAGAGGGATACAGTAGCAGAGATCGGAGCTGAGGAGGACGAGTTCGACGGAGCCGGAAAGGAGAGACTGGGCACGGTGATCTTCGGATCTGAAAAGGGAGAGATGCCGTCAGTTAACAGTTGAGGAAGAAGAGCAACCGTTCATCATCTTCAAGCTGGAACACTCGAGCTATACCTGAGCAATATTTTGATTCCCTGTTTCTCTGTTTCGGTTCCTGCTTCCTTTACTTTTGATTTTCACTATGGGTTTCGCATTTGAGATTGTTGCTTTAGAGCTGCGACTGATTATATTCATGTTTAGCTAATTTTCTTTTCAACATAGAGGAACTATGAACTTGCTAATGGATTAAATTTTGTTTTTACTGAATTGAGAATGCTTAATGTTAAATTTTGGTTGCTTAATCTTATTCTTTATTGTCCATTCGATGATTAGCCATCACTAATTGTAAATTTGAGAATTAAAATTATCTTTAACAAAAGGGATTTCAAAATATGAGATTAGATGATAATCTAATTTGTGATTGGGAAAGAAATATACCTAATTGCCCTGTATAACTATTGATGAGTGAGACTAAATTGTTTAGCCTCTTGAAAAATTGTGAGAGATTACATAATTAATTTAAGAGAAGATTATAAGTGGACCAACAGGTACTTATAACTAATTAAATTCTAAATTAATAAAATTGACATTAAAGCTAATCAATTCAATGAAATGAGGTTTAAGAAGCCAGCAAAGGATTAACTTTAGGTTGGCTTTTTTAATATTTACTTTAGTAATTTGAGAAAGCTCTATTTTATTTATTTTAATTTCTTCTCACTCAATTTCATAAAACCTTGATTTACTCAACTTAAACGAAAAGAGGATTTTTACTGCCTAATCACTGTTACTTGAGTTTTTTATATGATCGACCTTGATTTGTCACTATCTATTTTTGTGACATGTATACTTGCGGTGCATCTTAATATTTGACAGCATCAATGGTACAAGGCTTTTATTTCATCTTGCCCTTGCCCACCAAGACTCAATTTGGTACCTTGTTAATTAGAGCACCAGTATTTTTACGTATTGTACCAAAACGAGGCAACATGCTCTGAAATGAAGTGTCATTGAGTCTTTTATTAAGTATTGCATAAATACAAAGATAGAGCCTCTTATAAAGGATGGCAGACGAACGATAGAGCCTCTTATAAAGGATGGCAGACGAACAGGAAAGGGGCCAATAAAGACAAAAACCCAATTGTTATTGCACACATATTTTAAAAATAAGACCATGCTTAAAAACAAAAGTTGAAGCCTCCTATAATATATCTAGCGAGGAGATATTATACTCTCCGACACTTCGTTGATGGAATATTGATTGTGGTTGCCAAGTCGAGCCTCCATTTCTCTACTGGTTGCTGCTGGTTCCATTTGACTGTGGATGAAGAATGCTGGTTCTTGAGGAATTGGCAATTGCATTGAATCATTATTCAGATATTGAACAACTTTATTCATGGAAGGCCTTGCTCCTGGATTTCCCTGCACACACAACAAGCCGATATGGATGCATTTGATTATTTCACTATGTGACCCAGCTTCTGTCAGATTCGAATCCAATATAGCTGTCAATCTTCCATCCCTCCAATGCTTCCAAGCCTGCCATTATGCAAATCATTCACTTAAAAAAAGGCTCTGCTACCAATTTGATTATAGGATATTATTAACATAAGCTTCAATGGTTGGTTGATGCTTATGATAATGACAATGGTGACAGGTTTGAGATGATCATTTGAGAAATAGTGTAAGTTTGCTATACTTACATCACTTAAGAGTCCCCCAGTATATTGAGATTCATGAGATTCACATTGAGAGTGTACATTCTTTCCACTTATAATTTCTAAAACAAAGACTCCAAAACTGTAAACATCTGATTTCTCAGAAAATAGTCCATCCTTAATGTATTCTGGAGACATGTAGCCCCTACAATAGATATATAAAATCACACATGAATATGTCAATATATTTGTTGGAATCTTGGAACCAGATAATTTGAACTATATGTTGTACCAATATTTAAATTCAATAGTAAAGTGCATACGCAATATACAAATAAACACATACACACATGCGCACAAGTAGGGAGATAGTTAGAAAGGGAGAGAGAACTCACCGTGTTCCAACAATTCTATTTGTGTTTCCTCTAGTTTCATTAATACCAACCATTCTTGCCATGCCAAAGTCAGAAATTTTTGGATTCATTTCATCATCTAGCAAAATATTGCTAGGTTTGAGATCTCGATGTATTACTTTTAGACGTGAATGTTCATGGAGATAAAGAATTCCTCGAGTAATTCCTTCTATAATTTTGTAACGCTCCAACCAATTTAACACTCTTGACTTTTGTGAACCTGAATGTATAATTAAATAACTTTGTGAGTATACAAATGAATGACAGATACGTCGCATACATTTATGTCTAAATTAAAAACAAATTAATGACTATACCAACAAAAATATGTTCACCTCAAAGAGTAATAAAAAAATGGATAGCACGTACATGAATAAAAAAATTGAAAAATGGTAAGATGAGCTTGGTTAGAAAGGACAAACCGAATAAAAAGTAATCAAGGCTCTTGTTGGGAACGTATTCATAAATAAGTATTTTCTCTTGATGTTTTAAGCAAAATCCTAATAATGCCACCAGGTTTCTATGTTGAAGTCTGGCAATTAGTAGAACCTCATTCTTGAATTCTAATAATCCCTGACTAGAATTTTCTGACAATCTCTTTACTGCTATTTTGCTACCGTCAGGAAGAATGCCCTGAAATCATGATGTAGTTAGATATGAGGGCTTAGGATATACATGCAACATATATATAAACACACCCATATGTTTGAACGCATAATCAAATTACCATGTAGACTTCTCCAAATCCGCCTTTGCCTATTCTATTTTCAATCGAGAACTTATCTGTTGCAGCTTCAATTGTTGCCAAATTGAACTGCAATGACTCTAATGTGGCTCCTTCACTTCCAACTATAAACATAAGTATATTTCAGGGTAAGTACACTACAATAATATGATTTTTCTCACAGTTGACTGAGTTGTTTTTGTTTTTTAAAAAGAAATTAAAAAAAACAGCATACATACAGTTTTTCTTCAAAATCTCCTTATAACTCTTGCTCTTCTTAATCTTCCAGTAACAGAAGCCGAAACAAAAAAGCATGATTGAGACCACAGTAGTGACGGACACCGCTATTATGATTGTTCGTGAGTGGTCGTTATCTTTTCCTGCGTAAAGTAAATGAGTGTGTATTTGCATGCCATAGACAAGAAATGGAGAAGATTTGTAAGCACAAAATTGAGAGGGAATTAAGAATATCAATTTATATGTAGTGACGTATCTCCGCGACACAAATGATTAGATTCCCAGTAACATTACCTGCATTACCTGAAACTTTGTGAGTTTGGGGATGGGCAGGTGGCTCCAAAACACCACTAGTATTTGGGGGATACGCAGGTGGAACCGAAGCATCACTCTTACTGTCATTATAAAATCGGTACGATTCAAACCTCAAGTTGCAGCTAGGATTCATGACTTGTCCTCCTTTACTTTCGAGACAACATGACGTGATATTTTGCAGAGCAACCCCTAGACATTTTTCACAATCTTGGCTGGACAGGATCGGAGTACATTGTGCAAGAGTGTACAACGTTGTCAATTCCGAAGAGCTGAATTCTGTTTTTGTTGCAAAATTTTTCACTCCTGCATGCGGTGATGAGTTCAACGTCGCCGCCACTAAACTGTTTAGTGTACTCGCTAATAGCCGATTGAAGCCCTCTGTTTGGTTTCCAATCGTATACCCACCAGGTACTGCATATATAGGTTGTGTGTCTAGGGTAGAGAAGAAAGAGCGATCGGAGTAGCGAAGCATGCACATGTCATACCAAATGATAGCCTCCTTGGAAGAGGGACACGTTGAGTTTAGTACCGTAATTCCCTCATTGACGCATTTATGGCAGAGCTCAAGGGGCACGTCACCGCGACACATGAAGAGGCCGTAGACGGTAGTGTTAGAATTGTTTCCGACTGTGGTGCTGTGGGATCCATTGCTTTTGGTGTCTTTGGATGTCCTGGAGAGCTCGAGAGTGAGACTTTTGAGGTTGTTTAGGTAGGGATCGTTGACAGTAAAGCTTTCGGTGGTCGAGCAGTTCCATTGTACAAGAGTAGGACTTCCAAGCCCTATCCAATGAAAGAAACAAAATGTTTATGACTATGTCATGGCCTTGACGTACTATTCATAAATACCCAATTAATGCTTCAACAAGTAAAGAAAACATCATTGTACTTTAATTACGAGTAAATTGTTTTCGGTGGTCGAGCAATTCCAGTATGCAAGAGTAGGACTTTCGAGCCCTTTTCAATAAAAGAAACAAAATGTTTATGACTATGTCATGGCCTTGACGTACCATTCATAAATAACCAATTAATACTTTAATAAGTAATTGAAGTAAGGAAATATCATTGTACTTTAATTACGAGTAAACTGCTGTTTTCGTTTTTGAAAGGTGAACAATTTTTTTTCTTTTTTAACTCTCACTTTAATTGGATAATTATTTCTAAAAAATTCAGTCACATCTTCAATTTAAAAATAGGAAAAGTTAACTAAAAAATAAATTGGCAAAGACGTATCTCCTTTGACTTTAATCCTTGAATTTTTTTTAGTGCAAATTAGTGACAACTATTAAAAGTTCGCATGTATGTAACCTTTAATTTGAAAGAACATACATAATCAATCCCAAGGAAAAAAAATTATAGAGGGCAATGGATTGTGCCACTTTTATGAAAAATAAAAAAAATAACGGAAAGAATGTACTACTTTTGATCCCAATTATAAGACATTATCTGTAATTTACAAACGAGGTTTTGTAATTAAGACTGGAAGCAGTATTAAGGAATTAAAACATTAAATTTATAGCTTTGATGTCGAAGTACGAGGCTGAAAAAACGCGGGTCACAAAGGAAACATATGGAAAAGCTTTCCGGACTTTTAGTAGGCGGGACAAAAATATGAAGGAACTCTCACTGGATCCAATTTTCAATTGTTAATTTAATTTGAGAACTTTCCAAATAACCAACGGCACGGTATCACAATAACATCATCCAATCTCTTTAGAGAGAGAAGCTGTAAGTTCTATACTGAAGGATGGATTTCGTTGGATATAATTGTCCCTTGAAAAACCAACTCTTTCAAAAAAAAAGTATATACATCGAAATATTTTTAATTCTTAAACATATTTGAGAAACAATTAAAAATAAATAAACAAGAAATCAACTATATATATACATATCATGTTTTTGTTTTCTTATATATATATATATTATACTAATCATTAATGAATATATAAAAATTAATTTATTTTACACTTTTACTTTATTGTGTTTTTTGAAATTTATGCAGAGTGACCAAATTTTGAATTATCTGCGCGTGGAGAGACGACTGATTGTATCAATAAATTATGAAGTATTACGCAGAAAGAAAAACATAACATGCATAAAACTTAAAATATGTGGGAGTATTAATCCAGCGACGAGGGAAGTCTTTTCTTCTTCTCCATGGTTTTTGGCCGCTTATAAAAATAGCCGAATTATCAACTCGCGCAGTCGCGCGTAAGAAGAGGAAAGAAAAGGAAAGGGAAAAAAATCATGGTAACATTACCTGGATAAGCGGAACCAATGGAGGGATGCTGGTTGCCCTTATAATAAAATTGGTATGTTTCGAGTCTCAAATAACAGCTCGGATTCTGCAATGGACCATTCAGGTAGTCCTCCTCCTTCAGAATATCTTCTATCAGGCCATGTAGACACTCACCACAGAATTGTGGGGACAGATCCGGCGTGCACTCTGCAAGAGCGTATAGCGATTCCCCAGTACTCAAGTTTGCTTCTTTTGTTGCGAATTTCTTGGTACCTGTGGGCCCTGATGTCGCTGCCTCCACCACCGCATCATTCAATGTCTTGTTCGCTTCCTTGCCTGTCTTATCTGTTCCATTTCCGATTTGGATGGATTCGAAGCATCCTTCTCTAGTATAGTCACCACACCTCCGTACCACGCTGTGAGCAGGCTGTTGTTGGAGGGTGGAGAAGAAAGAGCGGTCGGAATAGCGGAGGAAGCACTGCTCGTACCAGATGATTGCCTCTTTGTTGTAGGTACACATCGAGGCTATTCTATTTGTGGCGTCCTGAACGCAATCTCGACAGACCTGACTGGGAACATCACCTCGGCACATGTACTCTCCATATACGGCGTCGTTCGAGCTTATGCTGCCAACGCTGTTGGTGTAGAATTCAGGAGTGGTGTTATTGCGGGTGGCCGTGGAGTAGAAGGAAATTAAAAGAGTGTTAAGGTTGAACTGGTAGAGGCTATTGGAAGTGAAGTTTCTATTCCTTGTGCAGTTGTGGTCATAGTAAGCAGGGATGTCTATTTCAGAAGTAGAAGCGAAATTCAAGAAGGTAAGAAGCAGAAAATAGGATAGCAGTTTCAGAAATGGCATATCCATCTTGTTCGTGAATGCTCCTACACAGGTTAATGTTTAAGTAATCAAAGTGAAGCGAGCTCTCACGGAACGGAAATTAATTTGTAATGATTTCCTTATCCCAGAGCAGAAAGCTTTGCCGCGGCAAGTCTGTCCTTACCTTATGACACTTTAATTTGCGCCAATGACTGGATAAGAAGAATGATATTGTCCACAAAAACAAAGAGTAATAAGACGAAAGAGAACCATAACGCATCAATCTTTACAAATCAAGTAAAATTGATCGTCACAAATTTCTTCGTTGTTGTAGGGGCGACCTCCTGTAACCTAAACAACAAACGCTTAAGCAATTGAAAAAAAAAACTAATAAATTAAAATTAAAGATCAACGAGAGAGATGGAGCTAAGAACATATCCAAATATAAAATAATCAGATTTAAGCTACATATTATGGCAATAAAGCTAATAAGTAATAAAAACTCATGGATTATAGATAAAGCCGTTGCATTATCTCAGTCCATCACCAATAATACACGCTCAACGTTAACAGGCATCAAGTCTATTCTTATGGTTTCCCACAAAATTTTCTTATTCTTCTTTATTAGTCTCCACTGACTCCACTTTTTCCCTCCACCAAACTCCTCAGGTACCCAAAGTAAATGAAGTTAAACTCATGCTTTTCTGACTCCTTTTTGAAAACTTTAAGAAATCATTAGACATATCTTTTTCCTCAAATACTAGTATATAAATTAACGTGCAGTTAAATCATTAATCAATATGTCAATGTCAATATATATTATAAAAGCTATAATAAAACCACTATATTTTTACGTGATGAATAGTAAAATTCACCTCAAAATTTCACCTGACTATTAAAAAAATACGTTCAGTTTAATTTCGAATAAATAATTTTTTAAAATGTGGTATTCTGGTCATGTCATCACCTTGGGTCCCATGGGGAAGACTTTGGGAAACCACCTTATTTTCCACCACTAACTCGCCTCTTGGATCATCTTTCTGTCTCTATTAAAAGAAGATTCCTTCTTGATGGGGGTGTATTTTTAAATTTCTAAAGATTCTATTTTCTCACAGATAATTTTTTTGGCCAAAATTTTCCAATAGATAATTGGAAAAGGCTACGGAATAAACGAATGGAAAATTAGAAAGCAAAACGTTGACTTGCGTCGATATTCGTCATCGTCAGTCAACCCCTTCCGTGTCATTGCAGGCAATGACGAGCTTATCCTTGTGCTGACCGGTCAGTCCAACTGAAGGTATGAACCCCGGGGAAAAAACTGGACCCTCTTATTTACTACTTCTAGTTTTAAATATAAAATTTTTATTTACTTTATATTTCAAAATTATATCATATTTTAAAAAATATATCTTTTGATTATAAAGTATTTCCAGCTAAGTGTAGTTCCAATGTCTATGATCAAGTAAAGGTAATTTAAGGAAGTCAACACATATTTATTATAAATAACTAACTCAACCGATTTTTTTATTTTTTTTAAAATTAATTATCAAACTCTTATATTTAGGATTGATTGTAATATTTTATTTTGGAGGGAATACAATGGGATTGGCATTAAAAAAAATCAATGAATTTGTTGTTGGGAAGTAAGTTATTCTTAGCTATTTCTAAATTTAATAATTTTCCTCAAAGATAAAATAAGCCTGCTGGAATAACGAAGAATAAACATGACAAGAGGAGGATTATTAAAATAGTAAGATATATAATGTGTTTATCTCACTAATATATTTCTTATGTAGTCACCTTAAATTTGAGAAGTATTATTTTAAACCTATTCTTTAAGATGATAAAAAGGTACTGATTAAAATGATTAATTTTGACAAATTGTTGCGCGCTTGGGATCAATGGAAGGATATGAAAGGATTTAATAAGAGATACATGGGATCCAAATCTAAGCGAATCCAAATCATTTAATGAAGTGATTAAGTGCTTTTGAAATTGGGCTGTTATTTGTTCAAATAATTCCAGAAGCCAGGCCTTCCGTGGCTACAGGTAGTTCATAGTTTAGCAATGATCGATTCAATTGCCATTTCTGCTTTCTTTCCGGAGCTTAATATTACAAGTAAAGAATCTGTTGATGAAGTGTCTATGAGTGAATTCTATCCCAGGTAGTGCAAGGCTTTTATATAATATTTTCCCAGGACAACAAGGCTCTATTTGGCACCTGGTTAAAAAGAGAAGTATTTTTATGGCTTATGACTTCATGTGTGTGCCAAGAGAAAGAGACCCAACATATAAGCATGATAATCTTGAAATCATTATTCACTAGTAATTACTCATTTTCTATTACATTTTTATTTAAGACGACAAAATGACATTTTTACGCAACAATTCCGGCCCCCAACCACCATCTTTTAGGTTCAAATCCCGCCACTTGGTATTGTATCAATAAGTAATTGTATACAAAATTTGCATCGTCGACAGTTACCACGGGATTAATACGCATGGCTTTCTTTTTATACAAAATTTGCATGCTCTTCTTTTTTGCTTGAAATTAAACATGTTATTATGAGTGAGATGAAGAATATAAGTAGTTATAGCTTTTAATTTTGGGATCATATATAGTTTCAGAAATTATCGGTGAGAAAAAGGATGCAGGTAGTCAGTAGGCTGATAGGCCTCTTGATGTATGTAAGTTGTTATGAACATGCATGTGCGATGTAAGTAGTTATAAGTTGTTGCTTTTTAATTTTCCCCCGTTCTTCATATTTTTTTCTTTATTTTTGAAATAACCAAATTGTTATTACAAGCATGTTTTGAAAGGAAGATTTCATTCAAAGACGATTTACGGATTCCTACCTGAAATGCATGATGAAGATCATATAATGAAGTGATTAAGTGCATCCATCCACATCGGATCGTTTTAATTTGTATTCAAGAAAATTTAAATGCAAAGGCTTTTCGTAGTTTTTTAATTTTTTCTCTTTAGTTTTTTTTGAAAATCTAAGTTGCGTTTTTGCCTTCATAAAAAATATAAACTGCGTTTTTTTTTTTTCAAATCTGGGAACAAATTAAACTTGCATTGAATTGTAAGGATGAAAGATATAAGAAAAAAATCTAAATGAAATAGTAACAAATATATTTGTGAACTTTTAATTACCGCCTCTCCTCTCAAAACGAATACTCAAATCACTTTCAAATGAAAGTGAATAGAATACTAAAAGCACTTTTATTCACACACAGATGGGTACGTTTGAATTGGCACTAGAAAAGTTAGATTGAGGGTGTTTGGCAATTGTTTAAAAAGTATTTTTGGACCCCAAACTAGGTTTGGGACTAAAAGTGTCCAAACACCTTAACTTTTTACAAAATCTTGGTTTGGGCTAAAACATAGTTTCAACCTCACAAACCATGGTTTTGGAGAAAGTAAAATTTTTTTGCTTCGTGAGCTAGAAAACTGATCGTTGGAGAGCTTGGAACCTGTAGAGCTGCCTATTGCCCCTCCTTACAAGAGTGCCCTTGAGTTGAAAAAGGCCTCCACTTAGGAATCCGACAACTTAATGATGGTCCAAGCTTGTAACTGTTCATGTTTATTTAATTTTGTGAAAAAATGTTAAGATGTTTCATATTTATAATCTTTAAGGTGAAATAATATTTTTTCTGTTGGCAAAATAATCATTTTTTAATTTGGAGGTTAATTAACTTTTAATTCATATCTTTTATTTTATTATCATTTATTGTAGGAAAAATATTCTTTTTTTTATTTGCCATATATGGTCTTTTAAACTTGGCCTCCAAGAAAGAATCAATAAAAAAAATTTAAATATTTTTTATTTTTATTTTTTAGTATTTTTTTGTTTTTTTAGTGGGCCTGGACAAAATAAAGTGTTTACATGTGATTATATGGGTCGGAACCCAGCTTTCACGGAAGGGGAAGTTCCCGCATGATTTTCATTTTCCAACGTTGAAAGCTTCGTCATGCATGGGAAGAATGATATTGTCCACTAAAATAAAGAGCAATTAGCTGGACGAATCATAATCACAATGCACCATCATCTTTAGGACATGCATTCTCAGAGCACCCCCAAAAAGAAAAAAAAAACAGAAAGAGGGAAAAATATCCATCACAAACCGAATAAAATTAGTAAGCAAATTTAAAACAATCAATTTCTTATCATACACGTGTTTTGAAGGGAGAATTTCATAAGACCACTGTGGGGAGAAATTTTCAGGAAAGAATAACAATTTTGAATTAAATACATCTCTGCAGTATCAAGGGGTTAAATACAACTTAATTTTTTTTCATTAATTATCAAAATACCCTTGACCTATTTTTTTTTTTTATATTCTTTAAAACTGGAAGTATTTTTTATTTTCCGGCGAACTGATCATGTGGCATTTTCAAAATCGTATATTTCTTAGAATTACCTTTTCTTTTATATTTGCTCATCTCAATTTCATTGACCAGCAAGTCAATCATGTCATGATTGTCATGATCGTGCGGGAAGACTTCAGAAAGCCTTCTTTTATTTTCCACAACCAACTTCCAATTTTGCGGCATCCCACTTTAGCTCACGTTCTCACTGGCGTCTCCACGCATTGCACATTTTTCAGTCATTGCCAGTCACCACGTGATATTTCAAACCGTTTAGATGAGTGCTCAGAGCTAATTCTAGACCGTTTAGATGAGTTAAAAAATAGAAGGACTAAATTTTTTTATATTAAAAAAGTGATATTTCAGTTATTCCTAATTTTTATTAAAAAAAAATTGTAGGAGGGAATGTAAGAGGTTCAATTCTAAATTTAGTCTTCTTTTCTAATTTTGGCATGCAGTGTAATTTCACAATTCTTTATGTTAAATTTGTATAAAATTTCTTGAGAAGTCTTATTATAAAATCCATCCCTATAATATCATCTGGATCGGCAGAATGACACAAGCAAGTGATGTTGCTGGTTTTTTTTTTTAAAAAAAAAAAGATGTTGGCGGCATTTTATTGATCTTTGGGAGTATTAATTAAAAAATTTCTCTGTGTGCTTGGCTGAAATTGATAGCTATAGATGATCTAAATGTAGAAAATTTTGGAACACTCATTTTTCCTACCGAGATGATTGAAAAAATCTGATAAGAAAGCAAACCTTGACTTGGCCATTGAGCTGCGTCAACCTTCTCTGTATCATCATCGGTTGAACTAACCCCCTTTCGCCACCATTACGATGCCCTTGTTCCTCCGGCGGCCCACTTGCCATCAAAATTCACTTCATCACAAAATTAAACTCAAACTATAAAGCATTATCCTCATCTCAAACGCCATCAATAACATACCATTCACCCTTAATTGCCATGACCTTCAACATTATAATTTTGTCACTCTTCTTCTTCATCGGCTTCCTCCTCAATTCTTCTTCTGCTCAAGTCATAGGTCGTAATGATCTTTACCCTCAGTGCTCCACCGGCAGTAATTTCACTGCCAATAGTTCCTTCGACTCTAACCTCCAAACTCTATTTTCTTCCTTAACTTCCAACGAAACCGCCAACCTCGACTTCTACAACACAACCGTTGGCCGCGGCGGCGAGACTGTATACGGCCTCTTCATGTGCGTGGGTCACGTCAACCAGGACATATGCCGCCAGTGCGTAGCTAACTCAATCCTACAGGTAGGCTCCGTATGCCGATTTTCGAAGGAGGCCGTAAACTGGGGGGCTGGCCAGTGTTTGGTTCGCTATTCCAACCGCAGCTTCTTCTCCACTGTCGATACAAGGCCTACACTCCGAACGTTGAACCCTATCAATGTCTCAAATCAGGCTGGATTCATGAATGTAATGACGATTGCTCTGAACCAGATGGCGGATGAGGCTTCCAAGTCTGCTGTGATGAAGCAGAAGTGTAGGACGAATAAGGTGGCGGTAGAGTTTCAAACTATGTACGTTCTGGTTCAGTGCACGCCGGACCTTTCGTCGGCGGATTGCAGAAGGTGTCTGAGCGGAGTGATTGGGGACTTTAGATGGTATTTTTATGGGAAGATCGGAGGAAGAATCCTATATCCAAGTTGCTTCGCTCGTTATGAGTTATATCCGTTCTCTAATTCTTTTACGCCTCTTCTGCCAGTAACGCTGCCGCCTGCTTCGGCTCTACTTTCTCCTCCAAATCCTGGTAAGCTTCATAATTACATGCTTTTCTGGTTTCTTTTTTCTAATTAAGCAAATTAGAGTAAATCTATTCATGAAAAAGATTAACTATATATGCTGATTTTGGGACCAAAATAGTTATTTCAAAACAGGACATTAAAGCAGAGCAACCGTGAGTCCGCATTAGATGCTCATTGAATCCATGAGCTCCTGGCGCTGAGTGGTCAAACGGTGTCGCATCATCGACACAGTGAAACGCTCAAGGGATTTGGATTTCCCTCTCCATCCGCGAGAAAATTGATGCCCCTTCCTCTTTTTCTTTTTTTCTTTTCCAAGTCACTCACTTTTTTTATTTAAATATCTTTATAATTAAATAATTCAAACATAGCAATTATTTTTTAAAATTAACGCATATATATAGTACATGTACTATAAAATTATATTTAAATTAAACTTAAACCTTCTACAATATCTTACAAAAAAAATTAATTTATCTCTGGCAGGGCCAAAGGGGCAGGGCAGCGTATCCTGCCTGCTGTTTGACCCTGCTTGTTATCAGCCCTGCCCAAAAAGTGTCCTTTTTCTTTTGGGCTTCAATTTTTCGGGCCGAGCTAGGCTTTTTTTCTCCGGGCTTGTGCGGGCGCACTAGGTGAACGAGCATCATGAGCACTTCTATTTTCTTCCTCCTATCCACTTTTCATTTCAATCATAAGATTGTTTAAAATTTAAACAGTTCAAATTTCATATTTTATAAAATTATTAATAAAATATTAATTTTTTAAAATTACATATATAAAGTTAAAATAATAAATTTTAGTCATGATAACTTAAAATATTTAATAAAATTATTTTATGAAATATGACATATAGATCATTTTAATTTTAATTTTAATTTTAATTTTAATAGTTGAGATAGGATAGAGGTGGAGGGAAATCCACTTCCCATCTTACAGGATATAGTCAATTATTATATGACGTCATCACATTGAGACGTGGGAGTCGATGTTTATTGTGCAGGAAAAGCGAAAGGCCAGTCAACAAGGACTATTGTGATAGTTGTGGTTTCTTCTGTTAGTGTTTTGGGGATATTTATTTGTCTCGCCTGCTATCTCTTAAATCGTCTAATAAAGAAGAGACGCAACGCCGTTCTCAGACAAAAATACTGTGAGTAATTTTCATTCTCAGACAAATTTTAACTCATTCATATGATTTGGCTTGTCCAACTTGTTGTGGCGATGCTTTTATTACCTTTAGTGTATCCTTTAATATTTTGTATTTGTGTAGTTGGAAATGAAAGCAACAACTTAGAACCTCTGCAATTTAGTTTGGTCACTATTGAAGCTTCAACAAATAATTTTTCAGATGAGAAGTGTTTATTAGGACGAGGTGGATTTGGAAGAGTTTACAAGGTAACATCAATATAAATGTTAATAGAGACAGGCAAACACATGCATGCGTGTTTCTTAATTTTTAATCTAATCATCCATGATTTTAGGGCATTCTTTCAAAGGGCCAAGAAATAGCTGTCAAGAGACTTTCAAAATGTTCAGGTCAAGGCGCTGAAGAATTCAAGAACGAGATTTTATTAATTGCCAAACTCCAGCACAGAAATTTGGTAGCTTTGCTTGGATATTGCATAGAAGAAAAAGAGAAAATTCTTATCTATGAATATGTTCCGAACAGAAGCCTTGATTACTTTCTATTTGGTTTGACTCTTCTCAAGCCACTTTAGCTATTAATTGAAATTCATAGTACATAAGTTACATGCAAGTTATTAATTATCTGTTTCATGCTATTTGGTGTATGTTAAGAGGTGTAATCGTCCATACCTAGATTATCTTTATTTTGTCTCTGTAGTCACTTACAACAAATTCATGTACAGGTTCCATAGAAGGAAAAGTATTAAGTTGGATGGAGCGTTGTAAAATTATTGGAGGAGTAGCTCGAGGAATTCTTTATCTCCATCAGTATTCCCGTCTTAAAATTATACATCGTGATTTAAAGCCAAGCAATATTTTATTAGATGATGAAATGAATCCAAAAATTTCTGATTTTGGATTAGCTAAAATGGTTGCCATCAACTCACAAGAAGGAAGTACAAATAGAATTGTTGGAACGTAGTAAGTTTTACATTTCTCCTTTTAAAGCTTTGAAGCTATCTTGATTTGGTTGAATGAAGAGAAATAAGTGTACATAAGTTGACATCGAAAAGTCTACATCTCAACTATATAATGCCCCCATTATAATGTTCTTACTATTGATATTTTTCTTTTTCAGTGGTTATATGTCTCCAGAATATGCGATGTATGGACAATATTCTGAAAAATCAGATGTTTTTAGTTTTGGAGTTATAATTTTAGAAATCATTAGTGGAAAGAAGAACACAAGTCGTCAAAATGAATCACAATATGTTGATGGCCTATTGAGCTATGTAAGTTATGATAATATGTTTCTCTCCTGTTGTTATTTCTTGTGCAATTACTTCAACATTATTCAGGTTAGAGAAATAATTATTTTAACAATATTCTATAAGTTTATAAAAGGGTGTTAATTAGTGTTACTTAATTGTCATAGGCTTGGAAGCAATGGAAAGAGGAAAAGTTGCTGGAGATATTAGATTTAAATATAAAAGAATTTGCGTCATATAATGAAGTGATCAGATGCATCCATATTGGTTTGTTATGTGTTCAAGAAAATCCAGATTCAAGACCCACAATGGCAACGGTTGTTTCATATCTGAGTAATGATTCCATTCAACTGCCATTGCCACGGGAACCTGCATTCTTTCTGCACGATGGAATGGAGCCGAGTACCAGTGGAAGTAAGGAATCAGCCTCGACTGTTGAAGTGTCTATGAGTGAATTCTTTCCTCGTTAGTACAATGCTTTATTTATTCTATTTCTTGGACCCCCGTGAGAGGCAAGCGTTCTTATTTAACTATACAAAAATCGAGATATACAATTATGCTGCACTCGTATTAATATTATTTGATCGTACTGATTTAAGGGACAGATGATATTTTCCAAGCATGACATTAGTTTTTGTAGTGTTATTCTATTAATTTTTTGTTCGGGTTTTACTCTTTTCGACACAAGAACAAAGATAATGGAATGTACCGATGATTCCTTGTTGATGAAGAATGTTTGGTAGACCTGAATTAAACTCTCTAGAGAATCAGATTTCAGCTAGAAGGCTTGAACCCAATTCCTCCTTGCCTACGATGGAATCAAGACCAAAATGTCCAGAACTCCAGATGTTCTTGTTATATGGATAAAATTTTATTGATATTTTTCAGTGGTTACAATTTAGAGTACCTATGCAATGTTCGAATTCTGAAAATTCACAATATGGCCTCTTGAGCTGTGTAAGTTGTAACAAAAAGCATTTCAATTCTTTCATATTAGCATTTCTTATGCAATCATCATTCTATCCCAGCCTTCAGATACGAGAAAAGAATATTTACAATTATCGTAAGTTAATAAAGGGATGACAACTGATGATTCAAGCATATTGTTCTGCAGGCTTGGAAGCTGGACTCAAATAAAAAAGGGATTTGGATCATATAATGAAGTGATTAAGTGCATCCAAATTGGTTTTGTTGGGTTTAAGAAAATCCAGGTGCACAGCCTTGCTATATAAAGCTAGTGGGGACTTTCGGGTTGGTTTCTTAGAGACTAGCTCGTACGGGGCCTTGTTTTCTTTCTGGAAAACGATGATATATAACCATTCAACGCATAATTGAGAAAGTAGGCAAAAGGACATTAAATATACAGGTGTCGTAAATGACTTGTGATCGAGTGGGAACTTCCCCACCATTGGGCCCCTATTCCCGTCAAAGCTAACAAAATATGCTTTTTTGAAAGTTCTTCATCTTATCGTCAAGGGACGTCGGGACACCAATGCAAGACAAAATCCTTTTCTTTTTTTCTTGTTTCAAATTTGGATGGATGTAACAATTACTTTTGTTAGGAGGGATAAATGGAAAATATAAATGTGAGACTGAAAAACTAAAATACCTTCCTAACCTTAATTTTAAGGGGAAAAATAACTTTTAATCTCTAAATAAAGAAACTTTCTCTTAATTGTTGGTTAAGTCTATGGACTTTGATTCGAAACAGCTCTTATTTTTGTAGTTTATTAAGTGGCAGAATTATAAAGATTTGAGTTCTTTAGAATTAAAAAAATAAAAGGACTAAATTTTTTGTTATAAAAATGTGATATTTCAGTCATTCCTAATTTTTTTCTCCAAAAAATTGTGAAGTTTAGGTACCAAACTTGATTTTGGTTAGGAAATTTGAAAGTGGGAGTTACAAATTTTGGATGGGAGACTTCTAAATACTTTGAACACAATTTAAAGATCTCTTTTTGTATTTAAAATTCTTTTACTCTATGATTTGCATTGCAACTGTCGTGGCAATTAATGAAAAAAGTTGAAAATAAATTTGAAACGAAATGCCAAGTGGAGGGACTTGTCAACAGTACTGACATGTGGGCCTAAGGACTCTTAACTCTCAATGCAAAGTTCACATTCTATGCGTTTCCTAGAAAGAAAATGGAGATGAAAAAAATGTTAATGAGTTTAATTTTAAAAAATTGAGAAAAAAATGTGGTTATAAAATTTTAATAAAAAAGATATAATATAAAAGAGTAAAAAATAATTAAAAATTTTTAATCTCACTTCTTTAATTTTTTAATTTAAACTCATTTAAATTTTTCTCCTCCTCCTTTTTTTTCTCTTCAATTTTCTTGTACCAAACAGATTTTTTTTAAAATTGACCAAACAATAAATTTAAGCAAATTTAAATAACATGACTTTTCTGAAAATCCTGGCCGTGTGATAGTTTAGTCTCAAAATAGCATTTTTAGAGTGAGGTCCAAAAAATTTATAAGTTGTGAATAACGAATAGAAGTTGCAAACCAATATCAATTGCTCTTAGTTGCAAATCATTGAAAATAATATACAAAATTTAAATGTCTCGCTTCAAAGTTCAAACTGAGATTCTCGCGTACTTACATGTATTTAATTTAATTTGATATTTGCTACTCATTTTCTTAGTTTTGTTCTTAAATTTAACTACCATTAAATAGATTTTCTGGGCCTAACTATAATTCTCTTAAGAAAATCTGTAATTGACGGAGTATTTTATATTTTTTAGGTTAATTTGTCTGCCTTATAAATTGATATGTCATCTAATGATACACAACTAAAATTGGAGGTAGAATATCACTATATTGTGCGCCTGATTATATTCCTCAAAATAAATGTTTTGAGTTGAGCGCGTCGACCATTGGGTGCGCTTATCACAAATGTGCTCATCAATGGCCGCCATGACTTCTAACAGATCACGCTTGCAGGGCCGTATGTTTGCTTCAAAAAGCCCACAAAATGAGCCCCCAAGCTGCCCAATGACGCATCTTTTCGTACTTGGACGGCAATTGCTTTCTCCAGGAAATTTTCATGTATTATTTCTTCTGATTTTAAATATAAGAGCTAGTTATTTACAGTGAAATTCAAAGTGCAAATTATATCTTATACTTAGGACCAAAGTTAGTATTGGGTTTTGTGTTGAGGCTTGGCAACTAATAGTGGAACCTCATTCTTGAATTTTAATAAACCCTGATGAGAATTTTTTTCCGACAATTATTTTAACTGGTTAGCATCTCGGGGGAGAATGCCCTGAAATCATGAATAGTCAGATAATGAGGGTGTGGGAAATACATACAATGATATATACAAATACAAACATTGATTTGATCACATAAAATGACAAATTAAATCGTCTTTTTCATTCATGGAATTAGTTTCCATATAACTTATTCTATTAACATGTGGTTAGAGTTTGCATTTGCCCTACAATACGCAATTGTTAGGACTCACTTTCTTTTCAAAATATTTGTACAGCACACATTCTCAAACAAGTGGCTAAAGGCTCATTACAAGAAAAAAGCACAGAATCAGACGATAATGACTAATTAATAAGTACGCACAGCTGGTTTCTTTTCGGACAAAACAAAAAGTACGCACAGCTGAAGCAATTTTGAGTGATCTATTATTTGTCCAATGTGGCTAGTGGGTGATTAGCTTTCTAGTCTCAAGTTGGAAGTATAAGACCAACGCGCATATTAGTGCCCCTTTGTGTTTTCTTGAAAATGATCATACGGAATCAAGACATGATTGAGAAAGTAGGCAAGAGGACATTCATATGTGGGTGTTGTTAGTGACATGTGAGCTGGAAGCTTCCCCACCACTGGACCACTGGTTCTGTCAAAGCTGAAAAAAACATCTGAGGCCTCAAGGTCAGTTAGTTATACATTAATTGGCTTGCATGCAGTTACCTGGAGTCCATTTTGATGGCTGAAGAGTGAATAATGTTATGGTAACTGCATGATATACAGTACTATGTACCGCACCTCCTACCTCCTGTGTTTAATATAAAAATTTTATTTAACTTTTATTTTTGTCTTAAATATATGATCCCAGTCTATTTTATTTATTATATTTATTTATTTTTCTCAAATTAGTTCTTATAATAATAATAGTTCTAACTAATATACTTAAGTAACAAGAATTTTTAAGAAATACAATACTTATTTATTACAAACAACTAATTTAATTAATTTTTTTAATCTACTCAAATTAGTCAATTAGACCAGAAGCATTGCTTGGGTTGCATTTGTAAGAATATGTCTCCCCCCGCTTGCGTTTTGATGTATCAAAATGCAAAATTACCCCTATTACATTAGAATATATACGAGTTCTTTTTAATTGATATTTGAAAGTTCTTCTTATTTCGAAAGTAGATCAAAACACAAAATCGCCCTTGTTGGATCAGAAGACGTATCCTAATTAATTATTGATATTTGAAAGTTCATCTTATTCTCAAAATATATCAAAACGCAAAATCACCTATTGGATCAGAAGACGAACCCTAGTTTAAAAGTTGAAAAATTCATCTCATCCTCTCAGTAGATTAAAATACAAAATCACTCCTATTAAATCAAAAGACGTAACCTAGCTAGTTGTTGATCTTTGAAAGTTATTCATCTTATCTTCAAAGTATGGGCACCAACGTAGGACAAAAACCCCCTTCCTTTTTTCTCCCTTCCTTTTCTGGGATGGATCTAACAATAAAAGTTGATCAAGTAGCTAAGATGAAGCATTTGGGAGCATGTCAAATGTCATTCTGATCCACAAAATAAGTTTTATTTTTCTCATGTTATTTTAGTCCAAAATAACAGTTTAACTCTCCAAAATCCAGAGTATATGATACTCCTATAGAGATATTGATGGGGTAAAGAGTTTCTTTCCTTAATAGAAGCACAGCACTGAATTTATTATACGAATGTATAGTTCTATCTCTATTTTATAATTTTTTAAGAAGAGTTAATGAGGTTTGTGATTTTTTTTCCTGATGAAAAATGTTGAAAGTACTTTATAAATATAATTAAATGAGTTTTTTTCCCTTATTTTAGCCTTTTATACAATTAACGACCCAACTTTCATTTAATGTAGCTAATTTTTAGTAGGGGTAGATCTGCAAAGCACCATAATACTTCTATATCTTTAAATGAAGCAATTACCTTTTTTGGCCTTTTCCCTATATGCCTGCCTAAATCCGGGATTATATTGTAGACTGAAGTAGTATAGAGTAAATGTGAGACAAGAAAGTAAAACACCTTCTTAGAGTTATTTTAAATTAGGAAAATCAACGTTACAGGCCATGAATATATAATTAAAAAAATCTCAAAAAAAATATCTCTTGAATTTTAAAATTTTAAATCAATATTGTTTACTAAATTTCAATAGAAATTGACTGCACTTGAAACATAATTTACAACACATTTTTATACTAATTATTAATTTGAAATTTTAAAATTTTAAAATTATTTTCTTTTTGAGATTTTCCCTATATAATTTGAAACACAAAAAGGGGGACGGACTTTGAAAAAACATGGGATCCACAAAGCGGGATTTTGATCAGCTAATAAATTTGAGTCAGTATGGTTTGTGTTCCATTTTGTAGGAATTGATCAATCGTCAATATTATTCGAAAATAAATTACCAAAAAAAAAAATCATTCGGAAATAAAACACGAAGTGTGGGAGTAGGGCACATCAATTAACAGTACTAGCATGTTGTGATTGTAAGTTGGCATTTACGTAGGGTTGTCCTTAATTAATTATTAAATAACATGACTATTTCTTATGCCGTAGAAAATCGGGCGCTTATTTCTTATTTTTTTTTTCGTACGGTGCAAAATTGCTTATGGAGAGCTAATTTCACATCCATTCAATCTTTTCGTAACTGAATCGGTTCGAAACTTAAAATATCACTAACATTTTTTATACTCCTTTAAAATAAACGCAAGAAATAAAATAATGTTCTAAAAAGAAATATAAATCATGATGATGATATAAATTCCTATATCTTTTCAAGTTGAGTTTACAATACGTTTAATTTAAAATTAACAAAAAATATTCTCTCTAATCCTACATATTATTAGGTGTTTTCGATTATCTCACATATACTAAAAAAAATTGTTATATTATTAAAATGGTTAATGGTTATTAAGCTCCTGCCTCCTTCCAACCCTTACGAGTGGCACGATTCGCAAACTATCACATGATACTACAAGACTTTTCAAATACTCCAATCCTGAACAATGAATTTTTCCAATCTTATTTATAAGTTATATTATTAAATTTCTTATATAAATGGTCAACTTCACCTTTTATTTGCAGACTGTTATTTTCTTAAAAAGTATATACATTAAATAAATAAAAATTAAAAAGTTACCAATTTTTAAGATAGAATTAATAAAACTTATCTTTTTATGTTGAAAATAACTTGTGAAAAAACAAAGAAGGAGAAAATGCTTCAACTTGGATTTTAAACGAAGTTACTTCAGACCTTATATTCCATGCTAAAAGTCTTCATGGCAATGCTCAAGCGGCACATCACCCCGACAAGTGAAGAGGCCGTAGACGGTGTCGGACTTGTTTCCGACGAAGGTGCGGTAGAATCCATTGTTTCTGGTGTCGTTGGATGCCTTGGAGAGTTGTCGGGTGAGACTTCCGAGGTTGCATAGGTAGGGATCGTTGGCTTTGCTGATCGAGCAGTTGCCGCCTATATAACTGGGGAGCACATTCTATACTCATCAACTAGAACTTCCAAGCTCTGTTTAAGGAAAGAAACAAAATGGTTATGATTAAATCATGGCCTTGACTATTCATAAATACCCAATTAATCCTTTAATAACTAAAGAAACATTACTGTGCTCTAAATATTAAAATTTGTAGCTTTAATGTTGAAAATTCAAATGTGAGATTGAAAAGACCGCGTCACAGAGGAAACATATGGAAAAGCTTTCCAATCTTTTCATGGGGTCGGAAATCTGGACTTTCAGGAGTCTCTGACAACAATACGAAGGTACTCCAATGCCTAGAAGAGAAACGCCGGATTTGTGCGTAGTGTGTGACTTTTGTCCTGTGACGGAGGGTTGGATTTGTGTGCGTGGAAAGACTAATTTTATCAATATAGAGATAAAATTAGAGCATGCATTAAACTTAAATCTTCGCAAGATCAAATATTGGGAGTTGCTCTACACTACAACGATGAAGGGAATCTCCTCCTCACCTTCTTATGACGTTAACTTCGGAGGCAGAACCGCCGGTGGGAGGCAGTTTGCCCTTGTGATAAAATCGTTCTGTTCCGACTCTCAAACAGCAGCTCGGATTCCGAATTCTTCCTCTGCGTGTGGTATTTTCATTTGGAATAAGTTTCATGATGCCATATAGACACTCTACAGAATTGCGGGGACAGATCCGGCGTGCGCTGTACAAGAGTGTACAGCAATTCCCAACTAAAGATTGCTTCTTTTGTTGCAAATTTCTTGGTACCTGCAGGCCCTGATTTCGCTGCCTCCACCATCGCTTCATTCAATGTCTTGTTTATTTCTCCATAAGCGTTTCCACCTACCTTGAAGTCTGTAGGACTTGCGAATCCTGATTGGGACGGCCTCCTGCATGGTGTTGATAATGTGTTGGAAGCAGAGGTGGTTACGGAGCCTGTGGCCACAGCGATGGCCACCTGCTAACAGTAGGCTGTTGGTCGGGAGTATCGGTGGAGAAGAAAGAACGGTGGGAATAACGGGCGAAGCACTCGTCGTATTGCCACTTTGTTGCTGGGACACTCTGAGACTATTCGATTTGTGGCGTCCTGAACGCAATTCTGACAGACCTGAATGGGGATGTCCCCTCGGCACATGTAGCCTCCATATACGGCGTCGCCGTCGTTGGTGCTTTCGGTGGTGTTGTAGAATTCAAGAGTCGTGCCGGCGGCCTTGGAATACAAGGAAGTCAAAAGAATGTCCAGGTTCAACTGGTAGAGGCTGTGGGTGCTGAAGTTTTTCAGTTTGTGCTGCTGTGGTTATTGTAAGTGGGAATGTCCGCTTCAGAAGAAGCAAAGTAGAAGGTGATGAGCAGCAAATAGGATAGCACCTTCAGAAATGGCATATACATCTCGCTACCCGGTGCTTACTGCTGAGTGAAGCAAAGCTTCCACGCCGTTGGACAAGCAGTTTCATGATGTCTTTTATTTTAGGTAAAATAAAACTGAGAATTGAAAACAAAATTAGAAAGATAAAGCGGTATAAGGGATGTTAAAAGGGTGGGGGTATTAGCTAGAGGCCCCCAAGTCCCAACATTCCCGAAGCGACGGGAATTTCCGTATGATTTTCATTTGCCAATGGAAAAGCTTTAACGTGCGAAGATTTTGCTTGAAAGAGCCTGCTGTGCGTTTATAGTATGAGTTGTGATTTTGTTCTTGGGGGATCAAAAGGCAAGAATCAAGCTTGATGATACAAAACACGCAAAAGAGAAACAATGTCATTATCCGTGTTCAAGCAACAGCGTAACATTTAGGATGAGGATTTTGCAACAAAGAGCTTTTGTAAGCCAAGAAATCAATACACTGAATAGCATCATATCACATGGTGTGCGTATATTTTCAGTATGTCCCCGATTCCAATAAATCATAACCCTTCCTTCATTAATCTCTGTCCCCAATGGATGGTTAGTTCTCTTCCATCTAGCATTATCACTTGGAGAAGCCAGTGTAAGCAAGAATCTTGTTGCAGTTTAGGTTAGCCGAAAGATGGTTATTGGTTTAAGCATGCAAGGTGCCCCTGCTTTTTTAGAGTAATTAAGAAGGGGAAGAAAAAAATGCCAAAAGCCAATGTTCGAGTACTAGGCTCTACGATGCTAAAGCCATGTCATACTTCTAGAAAAAGCTTGAACGACCTTCAACGAAAGGTACCTATACCCGAAATATTTAATTACAGAGATGTATGCCAATAAAAAAAAAAATCAGGAGGATCACCAGTAGTTGCGGCGGCATGGGCTGGATAATTAAGAAGAATGATATTGTCCACAAAAATAAAGAGCAATAAGACGATTCATAATCATAATGCAAAGTCATTTTTAGGACTGTCTCATCAATACCCAAAAAAATACTGAAAAAGACGGAAAAATCAGTCACAAAAGCTTATAAGCAATTGAAAATATGAGAAAACCATCATAGCCTCTTACTGGACATCAGAATAAAAAAGGGGGCCGATTGAAAGAAAATCCAAATTTAAAATAATTAAATTGTTATTGCACACATTTTGAAAGGAGAGGTTCATTCAAAAACTACTGTGGAGAAATTTTCAGTCAAGAATAACATTCAATATAAATTCTAGTTTTTATGCCGTACAACATACTACCCCGTTCTAATTATAAGATTTAATTTGCAATAAAAATTATACTACTAACTAGAACTTTTAATTAGAAAATGAGGCAGTGTATTCTTATTTTTTTAAAATATTTGTTTGAGAGATTCGTAATTTCTCGAATTATATGTTGGCAAAAAAAATTTCTTGAATTATAAGTTCAAAAATTTCAAAATGTATGAAATTAAATTATTGGTGATAACAGACGAAAATTCGAAATGTATACATTAGTTTTTTTTTGCCAAAAAATGTATATATTAGTTTATTTATTTACATACGTATCATTTTAGACTTATTTTGGAAATCCAAAATTAATCGCTAGACGTCTAGTCCCCTGCTCCTCTTCGTCGCAGCTGCTGAAATAATGAAAGGCTTGACTTGCCTGCCTTCTTGATTGTGATTGACTAGAGTGTGGCACAACAATGAATGCTCTCATAAAACTCAGTGGTAAACTAACAGTATAAATTATAAATAAATAGTAAATAATTTTCGTTCAATAAAATAATAAATTTAAATAAAAAGATTTAATAATAGCAGTAATATTAAAAAAATTTAATATGTAAGATATAAGTACTAATATCACATATTAAATGATATATATATATATATATATATTTATCTGTGTTTGTGACTGTGTAGTTTAATGTTATATAAGCATGATGCCTCACTTTTTTCTTGCAGACCATAAATGAGCCCGAGGATTAGAATCTGAATACCGCAGTGGTGGGGAATGGTTGCAGCGATCAATGAAAGAACTTGGTGGCTCTGAAATCATCGTGTTGAAGGTCCGGAGGAGACTAAGAATGTCGTAAAAACGAAGGCTGTCAATGACAAACCAACTGCATAGGGTGTTCTATATATATCATAAATAAATTGAAGGGATCAAATTATAAATTTTCATTTAGTTCATGACATATTGGCTTGATACGTACGCACCTCGGGACCATTTGGACGTCTTTTACTTTCCTTTCATAAACATAATCTCAGTTTTCTGCTCTGTTCAAATGTTATTGACTAGAGAAGCTGAATAATGTCTTGGGCGTGTGAGCTTCTTTTCTACGTGAAGACATGCCTATTTGAAGCCCATTATGTGTGTCACTCACTAAAGTGCATATATAAGGGTCATAGTAGAGTTGGAGAATGAGATCTTATTCAAGATGAAGGAGCAGTCATTGAAGAGAAAAGAAAGAGGTCCATTTTTGCATATTCACGTAGTTTGTATTTGCAAATTATTCGCTAAGCATTGGATCAGGCTGAAATTAAGTCAAAAGGTTTGGAAGTATATAGTTCTTCATTTTCAGTAGTCGTCGGATTATGGATTCATTGTCTAGCGCACTTGTTCGCACTGAATTTCATTTGATCTTCATGTTTACAGCACAATTCTCGTTTCAAATTTCATGATTTGCCGTGGGTCACGACCCTCTTATGGGGCGGCCTTAGGCAAAAATTTCCACAACTAACACACAACTTTTCTTCATTTTGGATGCTTCCATTCATTTTCAAACAATTTGGTCGCCTCGATTTCATTGGCCCGCGCTAGCCTTCCATCACCATCATCAGTGAACACCTTCACGGCCATTGCAATACTTCTAATACAAAACCGTCGAGCTTCTCCATCATCCATCCGAACTGAAACTGAACCTGCCGTAGAAATACACAATAAAAATCGATCACACACGACCAACGCAATCTTCACCCTAATTACCGCGGCGTCCGTGATTATGGCTTCCACCAAAATTTTGTTTCTTCTGTTCATTAGCCCAATCTTTTCTCCTGCAACTGAAGCACAGGATGGAAATCCTCTTTACCACTACTGCAGTTCCAACCAAACCTTCAGTGCAAATAATGCCTTCCAGTCGGACCGCACCACCCTCCTCTCTTCCTTAGCTTCCGCCAACACTGAGTTCTTCAACTTCACCGTTGCCAGTGGCGGCGACACTGTCTACGGCCTCTTCATGTGCCGGGGCGATGTCAACCTACAGCTGTGCCACCAATGCGTCGTTAACGCAACCCAACGATTAACCTCGGGATGCCCATTTTCGAAGGAAGCCATAATCTGGTACGACGAGTGCATGCTTCGCTATTCCAACCGCTCCTTCTTCTCCACCGTCGAGACATATCCTCAATTATTCATGTGGAACGTCGGCAATATGTCTCGGGAGGAAAGCTTCTCAGTGATATTGCCGTTTACGCTTAACTTGACGGTACAGGAGTTAGCCGAGGCTCCTTTTGGTGCTAAGAAATTCAATGCAACAGAAATTCATATAACTAATTTTGGACCTCTGTATGTTCTGCTTCAGTGCACGCCAGACCTGTCACCCCAACAATGCCAAGACTGTCTGAAAGATGTTATCTCGAATATTCATTTTTGTTGTGAGGGAAAGAGAGGAGGAAGAGTTATAACTCCTAGTTGCAATCTTCGTTATGAATCATATCCCTTCTTTAATCTGCCAGGACCTCCGGCTCCACCTCTTCCTCCGCCAAATTCTTCCGGTAAGGCTAAACTTAGTATTTGCTTTTCTGACGTTTTTTTTTCTATACATACGTACCGTAATGAGAAAAGCTGCGCTGAGGTTGGCGTCAAAATAACTTCTTCTTTTGTCAAAACAGAGAGAATTTAATATCTCTGTGACAGTTATGGCTGGCCGGATAACAGTCCATGATTCCCTTTAATTATAATTAAAAGATTGTTAGAGATGTGATTTAAAATCAATCTTGATGGATTAAAATATATTAATTGTTTGTTATCATTTTGAAATTTAATATAAGTACCAGAAATCGATCGACTCACACGAATTCTTTGCATCTTGCCCCAAAATTGACTTGCCTGGAAGGAAGTATCTGATGAGTGATGACTGATGTCTAACACAGTAACAGCAAAGACCATTGGGATGGTTGTGGTTTCTGTTGTTGGTTGGGGCATCCTTCTTTTGCTCGCCTACCATCTCTTAAAGAGTCTAATAAAGAAGAGACGCATGATTATTCTCAGACAAAATATTGTAAGAAATTTTCACTCTCTCTCTTTATTCCTACAGTTTGCTGATAGCTAGATGGCAATGCTTTTACTGTAATTTTTTTTCCCTTTTCTTTAAATTGTCTAGTTGGAAATGAGAGCAACACTTTAGAGCCTTTACAATTTAGTTTGGCTGCTATTGACGCTCCAACAAATAAGTTCTACGCGACAACTATTTAGGCCAACGTGGATTTGGACGAGTTTACAAGGTGAGAAATTAAATGCTGTCAATGTTAATGTTTTAGTTTGTGGGCTCTTATTTTTTACTTTTTAATCTAATCAACTACAATTTCAGGGTATTCTGACAAGTGGCCAAGAAGTAGCTATAAAGAGACTTTTAAAAGGTTCTGGCCAAGGTGCAGAGGAATTAAGAACGAAGTTCTATTAATTGCTAGACTCCAACACAGAAATTTGATGGCCTTGTTAGGATTTTGCATAGAAGATCGAGAGAAAATTCTTATTTATGAATTTGTTCCCAACAAAAGCCTTGATCATTTTCTATTTGGTTTGTCTCTTCTAAACCCATTTTAACTCTTAATTAAAATTTATGATTCACATGTGTCATGTCATCAATTGCTTAAATTTAAATTATCTTTATCTGCCATGTCAAGTATCTGATAACAAATTTATGTGTAGGTTCCCAGAAAAGAAGAGTATTGAATTGGGGGGAGCATTGTAAGATTATTGGAGGAATTGCTTGAGGAATATTATATCTTCATAATATTCCTGTCTTAAAATTATACATCATGATCTTAAACCAAACAATATTTTATTAGATGATGAAATGGATCAAAAATTTCAGATTTTGGTTTAGCTAAGATGGTTGCTATGAACACAAACGAGGGAAGTACAAATAGAATAATTGGCACATAGTAAGTTCTAAATCTTTCCCTTTAAGCTCTACATCTATCTTGATATGGTTGAATAAAAACGATCAGGCAAAAAAAAAAAGAATAAAAGAATAAAAACGAAGTGTACCCAAGTTGAGTTTGAAAACTTTACTCATCTCAAGTAGTCATTGAATGTCCGAGTTAATGTTATTATCATTTATTGAAGAAGCACTTTCTATAATTAATATTCTTTTTTTTTTCAGTGGTTACATGTCACTAGAATATGTAATGTACAGGCAATATTCTAAAAAATCAGATGTTTTTAGCTTTGGAGTTATAATCTTAGAAATTATTAGTGGAAAGAAGAATATGAATCGTCATAACCAAACCCAATATTATGAGGGCCTATTGAGCTATGTAAGTTATGATAATACGTTTCTCTTATATTAATATTTCTTATACAATTATCTCAACCAACAAGTTGGAGAAAAGATTATTTTAACTATATTCTAAAAGGTGATAATTGGTTTTACTTGATTGTCATAGGCTTGGAAGCAATGGAAGGAGGAAAAGTTGCTGGAGATATTAGATTCGAATATAAAAGAATTTGGATCATAGAATGAAGTGATCAAGTGCATCCAGATTGGTTTGTTATGTGTTCAAGAAGATCCAGACCTACAATGGCTGCGGTTGTTTCATATCTTAGCAATGATTCCATTCAACTGCCATTGCCACAGGAACCTGCCTTCTTTTTACACGGTGGAATGGGGCCTAGTACCAGTGGAAGTGAGGAATCAGGCTCGACCATTATCGAAGCGTCTATGAGTGAATTCTTTCCTTGTTAACGCGATACTTCCATTTCTTCTATTTCTTGAACACCCTACAAGGAGACAAGCATTCTTATTTAACTGCACAAAACTTGAGCTATGCAATTTGTAGTGTACGTATATTTAAAGGGACAAGTGATATTTTCCATGCATGACACTGGTTTTTATAATGTTATTCTAATCATTTTTTATTCGGTTTTTATTCTATTCGACCCAATAACAAAGTCTTGAGGCTCCATTTGGTACATGGGAATCTTGACTATTAGAGGATGGAATTGAACAACAATTCCTTGTTGGAGTATGCTTTTTAGATTGGAATGAAGTGATCTCCAGAGAATCATACTACTTCCGGTCTACAAATAAGATCTTATAATTAGAACCGGAGGTAGTATTTAACTTCAGCTAGACGGCTTGATCCCAATTCCTCCTTGCCTACGATGGAATCAAGACCTAAATGTCCAGAACTCTAGCTAGATGTTCTTGTTATGATTGGATAAAATTTTATTGATATTATTAATATTTTTCAGTCGTGGTTATAATTTAAAATACAAATGCAATGTTCGAATTCCGAAAGTTCACATTATGGCCTCTTGAGCTGTGTAAGTGGTAACAAAAAGTATTTCTTTCATATGAGTGTTTCTTATGCAATCATTATTATATCCCAGCCTTCAGATACGGGAAAAGATCATTTACCAATATCGTTAGTTAATAAAGGGATGACAACTGATGATTCAAGCATATTTTTATGCAGGCTTGGAAGCAATGAAGAAAAGCTTTTCATAATTGGACTCAAATAAAAAAGGGATTTGGATCATATAATGAAGTGATTAAGTGCACCAAATTGATTAAGAAAATCCAGATGCAAAGCCCTGCGATGTAAGCTAGTGGGGCCTTTCGGGTTGGTTTCTTAGAGACTGGCCTTGTTTTCTTTCTGGAAAACGATGATATATAGCCATTCATACCCATAATTGAGAAAGTAGGCAAAAGGACATTAAATATATGGGTGTCGTAAATGACTTGTGATCGAGCTGGGAACTTCCCCACCACTGGGCCCCTATTCCTGTCAAAGCTAAGAAAATATCCGAGTCTCGGAGCAGTTAGTTATAAGTTAATTAGTTTTGCAGTTGGCAGAGTCCATTTTGATGGCTGAAAAGGGAATGTTATAATAGCTGTATGATGTTAGCACTTCGATTGCGTTTGTGAATTGATCTTTGAAAGTTCTTCATCTTATCGTCAAGGGACGTCAGGGCCCCAACGCAAGACAAGATCCTTTTTTTTTTTTTTTCAAATTTGGATTGATGCAACAATTAATGTTGTTAAGAGGGATAAATGGAAAATATAAATGTGAGACTGAAAAACTAAAATACCTTCCTAACCTTAATTTTAAGGGAAAATGTAACTTTTAATCTCTAAATAAACTCTCTCTTAATTATTGATCAAGTCTATGGACTTTGACTCAAAACAGCTCTCGATTTTTGTAGTTTATTAAGTGGCAGAATTATAAAGATTTGGGTTCTTTCGAATTAAAAAAAAAAATAGAAGGACTAAATTTTTCATTATAAAAATGTGATATTTCAGTTATTCCTAATTTTTTTCTTGAGAAAATTGTGAAGTTTAGGTACCAAACTTGAAAGTGGGAGTTAATTTTGGATGGGAGACTTCTAAATTCTTTGAACAACATTGAAGGATCTCTTTTGTATTTAAAATTCTTTCACTCTGTGATTTGCATTGCAACTGTCGTCGCAATTAATGAAAAAAGTCGAAAATAAAATTGAAACGAAATGCCAAGTGCAGGACTTGTCAACAGTACTGACATGTGGGCCCAAGGACTCTTCCCCCTCTGTGTAAAGTGGACGTTCTATGTGTTTGGTAGAAAGAAAATGGAGATGAAAAACATGCTAATGAGTTTAATTTTACAAAATGAGAAAAAATGTGGTTATACAATTTTTAAAAAAAGATATAAGATAAAAGAGTAAAAAATAAATAAAATTTTTAATCTCACTTCTTTATTTTTTTAATTTAAGCTCATTTAAATTTTTCTCCTCCGCCTTTTTTTTTTGTACCAAACAGATTTTTTAAAATTGACCAAGCAATAAATTTAAGAGAATTTAAACAACATGATTTTTCTGAAAATCCGGGCCGTGATAGTTTAGTCTCAAAATATAAAAGTTTTTTATTACAAAATAAGTTGTGAATAACGAATAGAAGTTGCAAAACAAATATCAATTGGTCTTAGATACAAATCATTGAAAATAATATACAAAATTTAAATGTCTCGCTTCGAAGTTCAAACTGAGATTCTCGCGTACTTACATGTATTTAATTTAATTTGACATTTGCTACTATTTTCTTTTTTTTTAATTTAACTACCATTAAATAGATTTTCTGGGGCCTAACTATAATTCTCTTAAGAAATTCTGTAATTCACGGAGTATTTTCAATATTGAAGCCCAAGCAAACCGTTGTATCGGAAAATAGAGAATGATGCTCTACAGCTTCCAGTGATGAAGGGGCGACGACTGATATTTTTTTTCCCCGGCAGTACAAGACTTTCCCTTGAACATCAATGCTCTGTTTATTGTAAGAAGAAAATATCAATACATTACGTCACATCCTAATTGGCTAAATTGATAAGATTAAAAAATTAAATAAATTATCTTAAATTTTTTAAATTAATTTACCTAATTTATAAATTGATATGTCATCTAATGATACACAAAATCGGAGTATATCACTGCATTGTGCGCCTGATTATATTCCTAAAAAATAAATGTATTGAGTTGAGTGTGTCGATAATTGTGTGTGCTCAACGCAAATGCGCATATCAATGGCTGCCATGAATTCCAAACAGATCACACTTGCAGGGCCGTAGTTTGCTTCCAAAAGCCCACAAAATGAGCCCCCAAGCTCCCGAATAAGGCAAGCTTTCGTACTTGGACCGCAACTGCTTTCTTCCACCAACACGGCTTCTCCAAGAAATTTTCATATACTACTTCCTCTGATCCTAGATATAAAATCTTGCATTTAGGATCAAAGTTAGTATTAGCTAGGTTTTGTGTTGAGGCTTGGTAACTAATAGTGGAACCTCGTTCTTGAATTTTAATAACCCCCAACGAGAATTTTTTTCTGAATTATTTTGTTAAAATCTCGGGGAAGAATGCCCTGAAATCATAAATAGTCAGATAATGAGGGTGTGGGAAATACATGCAATGATATATACAAATACAAGCATTGATTTGATCGCATAAAATGACAAATTAAATCATCTTTTTCATTCATGGAATTAGTTTTTATATAATTTATTCTATTAACATGTGGTTAGAGTTTGTATTTCCCCTACAATACGCAATTATTAGGACTCACTTTCTTTTCAAAATATTTATACAGCACACATTCTGAAACAAGTGGCAAAAGACTAATTACAAGGGAAAAAGCACAGAATTAGATGATAATGACTAATTAATAAGTACGCACAGCTGAAGCAATTTTGAAGTAATCTACTTTTCTGGTCCTTAATATAAGACTTATTTAACTAATTTGATGAGATTAAGAAAGTTAGGTAAGTTAGTTAATTATAAGCAATATAACATATTTTTCCTAAAACACCGTAATCATCTTCCTTAATATCCTTCCTCCCTCTTCTACTTAATTATAACTGAGAGAATATCTATAGGGTAATTTAAGAAAAATTGATAAATATAATAAATAGTTTTTATATTTAGGACTAAAATCAACTTAATAATGAGGTCATATATTGAGAATCAGAAGAATATTTTTTGTCCAATGTAGCTAGTGGGTGATTAGCTTTCGAGTCTCAAGTTGGTACTATATATAAGACCAACGTGCATATTAGTGCGCCTTTGTGTTTTCTTGAAAACGACCATTCAGACTCAAGACATGATTGAGAAAGAAGGCAAGAGGACCTTCATATGTGGCTGTCGTAAGTGACATGTGAGCTGGGAGCTTCCCCACCACTGGACCACTGGTTCTGTCAAAGCTGAGAAAAATATCTGAGGCCTCAAGATCAGTTAGTTATACATTAATCGGTTTGCATGCAGTTAGCCCGAGTCCATTTTGATGGCTGAAGAGTGAATAATGTTATGGTAACTACATGATATATAGTACCATGTACCACACCTCCGTATTTAATATAAGAGTTGATTTGATTTTTATTTTCATCTTAAATATAATATTCTAATCCATTTTTTCTCTCATGTTTATCTATTTTTCCTTAAAGTAGTAGTTTTAATAATGATAGTTCTAGCTAATACACTTGATTAGTAAAAATATTTCAGAAAATATAATACCTATTTATTACAAATAATTAACTTAATTGGTTTTTTAAATCTAATTTAGTTAGTCAACTAGCTCTTATATTAAGGATTGGTAATACTTGGGTTGTATTTGTCAGAATATGTCTCATCCCGTTGCGTTTTGATGTATCTATATGCAAAATTACCCCTTTTATATTAGAATATATATGTGTTCTATTTAATTGATATTTGAAAGTTCATCTTATTTTCAAAGTAGATCAAAACAAATACCCTTACTGGATCAGAAGACGTATCCTAATTAATTATTGATATTTGAAAGTTCATCTTATTCTCAGAGTATATCAAAACGCAAAATCACCTATTGGATCAAAAGACGTAACCTAGCTTAAAATTTGAAAAGTTCATCTTATCCTCTCAGTAGATTAAAATACAAAATCACTCCTATTAGATCAAAAGACGTACCCTAGTTGTTGATCTTTGAAAGTTCTTCATCTTATCTTCAAAGTATGGGCAAGACAAAAATCCCCTTCGTTTTTTCCCCTTTCCTTTTCTGGGATGGATCTAACAATAAAAGTTGATCAAGTAGCCAGGATGAAGCATTTGGAAGCATGTCAAATATCATTCTGATCCACAAAATAAGTTTTATTTTTCTCAGATTATTTTAGTCCAAAATAAAAGTTTAACTCTCTAAAATCCAGAGTATATGATGCTCCTCTGGTGATATTTACAGGGTAAAAAGAGCTTCTTTCCTTAATAGAAGCATTTTGCTAAATTTATTATACAAATGTATAGTTTTATCTCTAATTTATAATTTTTTAAGAATAGTTAATCAGGTTGTGATTTTTTTCCAATGAAAAATGTTGAAAGTATCTTATAAATACAATTAAATGAGTTTTTTTTTTTTCCTTTTGATGGAAAGAGTCCCCCCCCCCCCAATTTTACCCTTTTATGCAATTAATGACCCAACTTCCGCTTAACGTAGTTAATTTTTAGACGGGGTAGACTTGGAAAGCACTATAATACTTTATATCTTTAAGTGAAGCAATTACCTTTTTTGGCATTTTCCCCATATGCGCGTCTAAATCTGGACTATATTGTAGACTGAAGTAGTGTAGTATCTTACACAATTAGTAAATGTGAAACCAGAAAGTAGAATACCTTCTTAGAGTTATTTTAAATTAGGAAAATCAACGTTA